TGCACCCTTAATGAATTATTAATGAGGGGGAAAACATGTATTGCAACAATAATGTGTGTGTGTGGTTATTTCAACAAGCATGGATGAAAAATTAAGCATATATTGTCTAAGCAATATGGTGGATAACACAATATATCAAACTAGGCCATTAATCATTTCTTTAAGCTCATAATCCAAACACTTCACAAGGTTAGAGACATATGCTACTTCCTTTCATAAGTATGGAACATCAAACAACAAGCATGGATTGTCCTCCCATTTAACATCTAAACTATAACTATACTACAATTAAGCTAATGACATGAAATTAAACTAATTAAACTAAGAGAGAGGCACAATCCATCAAGAAATGAGTATGAACCATCACATAAACCACAAGAGCATTCCATTAAGCATTATGTCTTGACAATCTCTAGATCTATAGCATTAATACACATAGATATGCATCAATAACACAAGAAATAGAGACAAATACATGAACATCTATTCTAGCATACATAAACATATGGATAGAATGAAATGATCAATTGGAAGTGTTAAACCACACAAATCATTGAATGAACAAGATCTATATATGTAAAAGTATCAAAACATGTATCACAATACAAATCCCCTTAGAAATACATAAATCAAGAAGTAGAAAGCATGCTTAGGGCTAACTCTAGCCCTAAGATGATGTCTAGCTACTCATGGATGATGTCCTCCAACCCTCAAAGGCTAACTCCATGGTAGAGATTGCTCCTCTTCTTGGTTAATGGAAGAACTCCAAACTTGTGTCTCTAGCCTTCTCTCTTCTTTTCTTCCTCACTAAGAATATATGAAAATTGTGTCTCTAGTGTATGTATGTGTCTCTCAATATATTGGCTCATATTCTTTATATAGGTAGATTAAATATCACCCCCAATGAGTTGGGCTCGTACACCAATATTCCCCCCAATGATTGGATATAAGACAACTTTTAATAAGCAGGAAATTAGATTTTCTTGTGCTTTGGAAAGTTCGATCGATCGAACCTGTGGTGAGATCAATCGAAGATGGTTGAGATCTATCGAACTTAAGCTGGATCAATCCTATATGGTGACGCCTTTTTGGATAAAGACAAATCTGAGATATTTTAAAGATATTTTTGGGAAAGAGACAAATGTGGTAAGTAGGGTGGTACAACTGGATAAGATGAAATCTTTTCGATCGATCGGAAGAAAGTTGGATCGATCGAACTTTGTGGGAACTTTAGATAAGGACAAAAAAGCTTGGATACATCTTGAAATGCTAAGATCGATGAACTTTCGATCAATCGTATATTTTCTGAGATCGATCGAACTTGTTGAATTTCCACCACTTGCTTCCTTTTGCTCCCACTTTGCTCCTTTCTTTGATTCATCTTAAGATTGCTTCAATTATGCTCTTATTTAGCTGAGTTAGCTTATTTTGGGGATAAGTACCTGAAAATGAAAATAATACAAAATCAATCTAATGCAGGAAAATAGGATAGATAAAGGTTCAAGAATACCTAAGCTTAAACAGTTTAAATGCACACTTTTCAACACTCATCACTGGTCATGGCACTTAGAGGAGAGAGGGGATCTTCCAGGCTTTATATTGTTTAGATCAGGGTTACTGGTTCTCCATTCCTACACTCATCTGGGAGCTTATCCACAAGTTCTGGAAGAACTTGCATTTTTCACCTACCACCAGAGCAGAGACTTGGCCTTTACCGTTTAGCCATTTGATCACACAGCTACTCTTAAACCAGGGGTATTAGTTTAACCCTGAGGAGATTGTAGAGCCTGACATTGACAGGGCAGAGAAAGCTTATAATCTGGCCCGGTGAAATAAGACTTTTAATTTATACCGCAAAAACAGAGCCAGCAGAGACTTCAAGATACTGCAGGTACAGCTTTAGAGAGAGGCAGCTCAGGCAGCCACAGCAGGTGATGCTTTAAAGGATGACACAGCAGATAGATCTCCTCCCAAATAGAGACGTCGCATTACCATTTCAGGTTCTACCTCCCAGCCAGACGTACCTTCTGCATCTCAGCAGACTGGCCCTTTACATGTTCTTCCTACTAAGCCGACAGCCCATACTAGCACTGATTCTAGCTACAGATTAGAGGTAGCTCAGTTGCATATAGATTTCATATCTTTCAGAGCTGATATGACTGGACGTCATGAGGATATTTAGAGGAGGCATGATGACCTGGTGAGGAGACACGACGATCTAGTGGGAGACATGATGACTTAGTTCGGATATCCGATGTGCTGCGAGATGATGTAGCTGAGGTGAGACATGAGCTTGGAGCTTTGAGGACTGCCCTTACCACTTCGCTCACTCGCCACAGTACTGAGATGTCTGCCATACTGCAGCATATACCTGTGATATTTCTGCACTATTTGGATATTTGCACTGATTTTCACTGGATATTTGATCTTACACTTATTTTCTATTTCTAGATTTTTGGATCTTTGAAATTAGTTTTGGCCACCCTATGTTATATCTTGCTATATCCCATGATATTTGCCCAATTCTCAGTATCTTTGAAATTAGTTTTGGCCACCCTATGTTATATCTTGCTATATCCCATGATATTTGCCCAATTCTCAGCATCACTTCTCATTTATATCATTGATGCATATGCTTTGACCAGTTGTTAGTGTGACCCTTTTCAGACAGGTTTTCAGAATCTAAGTTTGGGGGTGCGCCTTCTAAAGTTAAGCTTCCGTTGCCGGGTCCCTTTTGCTTCACCCATTTCGTATACTCTTTCCATTATTTGTTGGTTCTTTGTCCATTGAGGACAATGCACAGATTAAGTTTGGGGGTATCTTAGTATATCTTACATGTCGCACTTGATTTCTATGCATGTGATATAATCTATGATTCTTGGGCTTTGATTTTGATCTTTTGAGGACTATGATACTTAGAATTTAAAATTTGCTTGACTTGAGAGTCCAATACTCCTTGTATGCCTTGTGGATGCCATTTAGGAGTAAATTTTTCGAATGATTGACATCTTGCTTGCATTTGTGATTCACATCATCCTGACTTTGTGATTGTTTTGAGATTCACTCTAGGATTATACATTAGCACTGGCGCACACTAGCATTCATTTGTAGGGTACATGTTTTGTTGATTATTGAATTGGTTATATCCCAATTGAGCTAGTAGTGCACTGAAAGCTTTTATCTTGACAAAAGTGGATAACAATCTCTTTTCATTGAGTAGCCGGGATTCTAGCCTCATCAAGCACTGAATTTCTCGCACTAAAAGGTGAAGGGCCCAAACTCTAGGTTAATAATTGAATGCTTGAAAAAAAAAAAAAAAAAAAAAAAAAAAAAAAGGGTTGCAACGGTAATAAAAAGTGAGGACTTTTCTCAAAAGGTGAGAAGTGGGAAATGATTAGAAGGAGATTGTTTTGATTTGTAGCCTAGTCGATTTGAGCTTGTAAGTCCTCAGGGGTGTTTAAACGCCTAATGCCCTAAAGTCGTCTGGTTTGGGAGTCATTGACCTAACGCTCGACCTCATGGATTGCTAGAAAGCTTAATATATCAACACATTGCACCATGCTTCCATCTTTGATCCTTAGGATTAGAATAAAAAAATAAAAAAAAATCGAGTGAAAAGAATAAGCGCACCTAGTTGAATAAGTTTTAATAAAAGGTCCACTCTTTGTTTTGATGATCGGGACTAGATTTGTGTGCTAGTTTGAGGGTAAGGATATGATCACTTCTTTAGTTGGCTTAGATAGCAACATATTTGATGTCGGTTCACTTAAAAGAATTTTAGAGTTGTTTTGATTTGCATGATCATTATTTTGATGTGTGGAGGACCATATTTGTTTGCTTGATGTTGAGATTTTGGGAGATTGCTTAGAAAGGGTTAAAAAATTGCATACTTGAGGTAGTTTTCTCCCAATGCTTGTTTTGTATATTGGTACCTCTCTTATGAGAAAGAGCTCAATGTTTGTGGGTAGCATTTCTGGAAACCCTCACGAGACTTCACTCATCCACTAAGGGTAACCTAGGGGTTTAAAAGGCTTATTGCTTACACTAAATGCAATCGTGTTCCCTACTAAAGTGGCGTTATCCTTTTATTGCTTTCTAATTCATAGCTGCTTAGTTGTTTATTTCTTTCTTCTCCTTGTAATTCATTGCTAAGGACTAGCTATATCTAAGTTTGAGGGTATGATGAGTGCTCAAATGTGACGCATTTTAGCACCTAAGTTAGGGTATTTTAGTCTATTCATCTATCTTAGATACCTATTTGTGTTATTGCCTATTTCTGGTGAATAATGTTCAAACAGGCTAACAAGAGCCATTTAGACCATTTTTGGAGTTAAGGAGCAAAGTTGGAAAGAAGCTAAGAAAAATGCATCAGGGAAACTTCGATTGATCGAAGGGAAGTCCCGATCGATCGAAGTGGTCTACAATCAATCGAAATGAAGGCGGTGCCAGCTCAGCAAAGTGGATAAGGGCCGAAGATATTTTTGATGCCACGTGAGCTTCGATCGATCGAAGCAAAGTGTTTGATCGATTGAAAATCTTTGATCTATCGAAATGCCTGTTGGCAGTAAGTTGTCTAATTCCCGAGCGCGTCGATTTCTAACTACCGTGCATAGTTGCGAATTTCCTCCAATCAGAGGCTATTATTCTTACTTGGTCCTTACTCAAAGAAGTGTGTAATTAATTTATTGAACAGTATTGTAGTAGATAGATATTAGAAATTATTATTACCAAATATAGAATAGATAGTTTTTCTCTCTAGAATTAGAGTTTTGAATAAAAAAGCAAGGATGAAGATGATGATGCCAACCTCCAAGCTAGCCCTTGAGGGTTTTATGTCCACTTCAATGAGTGGCTAAATCATTCTCTTGGGGCTAGAGATAGCCTTTAGACTTGCTTCTCAAACCTAGCTTTTGTGTATTTTTGGGGATTTTAGTTGTAATAGATGTGTTGACCATGAATAAATATAGATCTTGTGATTTCTACTTGATTTGTATGGATTAATGCTTTCAATTGATTATTTAGCTCTAGTCATATGTTTATGTATGCTAAAATTGATGTTCATGTTTTTATCTCTAGATTTAATGAATTTGATGCATGTCTATGTGTATTGATAATGCTAATCTAGTGATGGTCAAAGCATGGTGCTTAATGGAACACTTGTGTGATTTATTTGATGGTTCATACTTGTTTCTTGATAGATTATATCACATCTCTAGTTTAATTAGTTTAATTTCATGTCTCTAGCCTAGTTGTAGTGTAGATGCTTTAATTTCTTAGGTAGGTGAACAATCCATTCTTGTTTCTTGATGTTCCATACTTGTGAATACAAAGAGTGTATATCTCTAAATATTTGTGTATGCATTAATTGTGGTTTAATTGAATGGAATCTTGGTCTCATTTGATAGGTTGTGTTATTCATTAAAATTGGCTAGATAATCTATACTTATTTGCAATTCATGCTTAGTTTTAATTAATGTCACACACAGACACACAAAGTTATAATTTAAATTTCCCCATTAATATACAATTACTAGTGTTTGATGAAGTGAAACTTAGTGGTGACTCTATGTCCCAAGACCTCTCTCCTATATATTTTCCTTATTTTCTAGATTGCTCTCTTTTTACTTGCATCAATCTTTTATTGCATTGTAGCTTAAGTAATCATTCACCAACAATTTATGATCATTCGGCCTACTAATCCGATATTAATTTCCATCACAAATATACCTTCAATTCCTTGGGATGATCCCTACTCACTCTAACTATATTTTTAGTTAAAAGTGGTAGTGGCATTTTATAAATTTAAACTTGACCACATTACACATATTTTTATTGCAATTTGGTGCATTGACATGGCACACACCACCTGGCGGTCCAAACGGGCGGCTAAACTTTTAAGCTTTTAATCTTCCTCACAGATAATTTTAATTTATGAGTCATTTTCCAGTGGGAAAAAATTGGATTCATTTTGTACCTTTTTATGTTAAATGTTCGATAATAATGATTCAACTATATATGTAGATATATATATAGTTAAGACACGACTTCTAATGTTTCACACTAAAATTTATTTCGTATGTTGGGCCACCAAGAGTGATATTACTTGCTTGAAACTGATCCAATTTACTTTGTAGACTCTGGTGCATCAAGAGAACAAATTTCCTTGGTAGATCATTTGGAAATGACTGAAATTTAATGGGCATCTAGCCCAATTAATGGTCCACAATGAAAGTGTCCCGGCTATTCACGGAACGTGAGAAGCAGATGATGTGCTAAAGATTCAAAATCCATTTTCATCTATATATATAAAAAAAAGAAATAAACCCATTGGATTTAAAACCTACCCCTAGAGGGGGATAAGGCTAAGCGGAGCGAAAATGGTTTTTCATGAGCAGGGAAACGAAAACTATTAGCCCCACACGAGGTTTCATCGATGGCATATATATATATGTGCATGTAGTTTCCCTAAGCTACCATATTGAATCATATAAAAATCATTAGAATCAGGCATCATATTCAATTGCAAGTGGACACAGGGACGGAGTCCGCGTATGCCGAAGGCCTGACCCTGCTTACTATAATATATGCACTATATTTATATATTTTTATATGTATATATGAAAAAATTTATATAATATCCCCTCTAAAATTTTTTTTCTCTAAAGTTATCTTTTAAATTTTCTATTCCTTCTCTTTTATGCTTTTTAAATTCGTTTAATTTCCTTTAAGATAAAGTAAAATTTTCTTTTTTTAAATCAAACTTTATTTTTTTTCCCTTTCAAAATTCTCTCATTTTTCTTTTCTTTAAAATTTTTTTGTTAACTATTAATCTTTCTTAAATTACTCGTTAATTGACATATTATTTTGAGTAAAATTTTCTTGATTTATAAAATCTTTATTTATTGTCGTGACTATTGATTTTTATTTATTTATTTATTTATTTTCCTCCTTCTCCTCCTCTAACTCCGCCCCTGAGTGGACAAATGTATTTGCGAGGCTCCTAACTTGGTTTAATTTTTGCAGTTTTTAAACTTACTTTACATTCTTTTACTTCAACTATTACATCTTTGCAAGTCATAGTTAGAGTGGTTACCCAGATTTGGGGTTGCCGTCACTATTTTATTGCTGCTATTATTTTACTATTGCTACTATGTATGGCTCATGAAGAAGTTGGAAGAGAAAAATTAAAATAGAGCAAGAAGAAGAACATATATGTACTGATAGGGAAAAATATAAACCTACCCTACCCTCGATAAGATTGATTATATTTCATTATCGTGGTTCAACAGGGTAAGAATAATCCTATCATAATTGGAGGAGGTCAAAAGGATTATTCATATCCCCGACAAATTTGGCAACAAATCTCCTATGATCTCGCACAAGCGGAAGATAAGATCAACCATCGACATCGGTGGAACCAATTAGATTCCAATCGACAACCATAAATAGGGCACCAAACCGTTAAAGAATGTAGGAGAAAAAACTCCTAAACAAAAGATAAATAGTTATTATGTGATACGATTACAAATACTAACTAGATTGTCGGAGGGTTCTTGGCTGGTACCCCACCGGTGTCATTCGAAGTGACGTCCCTTTGTTTTGCAGGTAAACGCTGTCGTTCCGAGTCGTGAGAATTTACGCATCAACATGTATAAAAAATTTTTGTTTTTGTTTTGGTTAAGTAAAGAGATAATATTTTCTTATGTGGGTTGCATTAAATTAAATAAATACATTATTATTCGTTTGACTGAATTTCTTAAGACATTTTTGTCAATGTGAATGTTGCAGTTCACATCCTCTTCTGATTCACGTCTCTGATCACATTAATTAAACTACTCCTAGACGTGTTTTCCGTTCTAATCACATGCAAACTAGTACTATTGGTCCATCGTCTCTCAATGACGGTGTAATAATAATATTTTTTTTGATAAATTAAAAATAATAATATTATTAGTAAAACTAATAATAATAATGAAATTAAAAATAATAATAGTATTAGTAAAACTGATAATAGTACCCGAAAACACGGTTAAGAAATCTTAAACTAGTATCCGAAATCTTAAACTAGTATGGTTGACTTTGACATTTCCCTTGCAACATCAAATACTTTAATTTCATTTTATTATGCTTGAAGCATCAGCCTAATGTGTTTATGATGTTACCTACTCCAGAATGGATAAACCATTCACCTTATGTGCTAATAAAATTAATCTTTATTATTCAAATTAAGTTTTTTTTTTTTTTTGAAAATCTTCAGCTATTATATATATAGATGAAGTGATTGTCCTTTTACTTAATCTGTTATGTGAATTGAAAAGTTCTATGCTGTGGCACTTTTTTTTTTTTCCCTCTAATTTTGTCATTTATTAATTTTGTCTTCATTTTTGAAGGCTTTTATATTTTTACACTTTATTATTAAAAAGAAAAAAGAAAAAAGAGAGATCAAGAGAGATGTGACCATTGTGTGTTGTACCTTAATCCTTGGAAGTGGGCCAGGGAAACACCAAGTCCCTGCTCATTGAGCCTCGTGATAGCTATTGGGGCTATGCTCTCTGCTTGAATTTCTCACCCAACCCAATTTATTATTATTTTTTTTTAAAGAAACCATGCTTCCATCACCAATTTCCTCTCTTCACACACACACACACACAAACAAAGTATGATGAAAACTGTTGTGGGGTATAAAGAAAATAAAATTATTAACTCAATCAAGTAATATTTCAAAATATAGCTATCTAATTGACTAATATATTGGGGCAATCCCAAAGGTTGGCTTAGTGATAAAATCGATCACTTAGGTTTTGGTGTCCTCATAGAACCAGGTCTCTTGAATATCTCGGGTTATTTTTAAAAAAAAAAAATTGAAAAGAAAAAAGACTAATATTTTGAGGCATCTCTAATTATTTTTTGTCAAAATAAAAAAGAAAAAAAAAAATTTAATGAAAGGAAAAAAATAATAATTGGAAAATAATTGAGAGTCAGAAAGTTAGCTGAACAACTCCAACTAATTAATGTGAGTGTGGGACATCTCTCATTAATATTGCAGGTGTTACAACCTTCACTCACATAAAATTAGTCAAATTTACTCCACTTGCGGACTTCCTATTATTGGTCATAATTTATTGTATCAGCATCTAGCTAGGTGGATTTAATCAATTTAGCTATATTTCAAATTTAAACCCAAAACTCTAATTAAATTAAATTCATTTAATTTTGGGTAGATAGGAACAATAGTTTAAGCAACCAGCCGTCACCAACTAACGAGATATTTTTCTTTAATTTTAATGTACAAAAAGAACACTCTATGACATGTTTGATTGAAACCCTAATTATAAGGTGGATCTATTCAATTAATTATACATCACATCCCTTAGATTTTTAGATAAATTAATGGATACATAAATCATAATCAGAGTTGATTTAATTCGAGGAGTACTAAGGTGAAGCCAATTAAGTTAGGAAAGTCTGAAAATGTGAACATGCATGTGCATGTAAAGCCAGTGAAATTAATGGTTCGTGCTGCATATATATATTAAAACATATATATAAATATGGACTCACATATTGGTCTCTTTGAAGACCATATATAGTGGAAGGAATAACATGCAATGATAAAATTTCTGATGAATTTTAAACAAAACCTAATCCTAGCCATGTTCACTGCAAACAATAAAGAAAAACCTAATCAATTATTAAGAAATATCGATATATATATATACACACGCACATACACACGCAATGACGCAAAATGTACCGGTCAACTTGAAAATGTATATCTCTCTGTGATCTGCATGCTTTATTAAAATGTAGTGCTTACCTGTTTTCATGCAAGGATATCAATGAAAATTGTAGATGATAACGCGGTGACGAAGATTGTTGGGTTGTATATATAAGCATGCATTGTGCCTGAAGCTTTGAGGTGCACAAAACACACACACAAACACACACAGACACACACACAAACACACGCTGAGAGAGATGAAGGCCAACTTCTTTTTGATAACTGTTGTTGTCCTTGGAGTACTAGGAGTTAGCCATGGAGGTGAGCTGAGGAAGAATTTTTATAAAAAGAGTTGTCCCCTCGCCGAGCAGATCGTGAAGAACATTACATGGCAACATGTGGCTAACAATTCAGCTTTGCCTGCTAAGTTTCTAAGGATGCATTTTCATGATTGTTTTGTTAGGGTAAGATATTTCTTTTCAGCATTGCGATTTGCACGCGCACGCATACATATATGTGTGCGATTTGCACGCATACATATATGATTGTAGTATCATTATTAAAGGTCATACCAATGGTGTAGTACCAATAATATGATCTTTCCTATTCAAATTTCCTACGTTGGTTTCCTCTGTTGGGGCCTGTTTGGTATGCAATTTGATTTTGGTGTTTTTGTTTTTGTTGGGGACTACAGTAGTAAACAGTGAAAAAAAATGTGTTTGATAAAAATTATTTTATTTTGCACAGTGTCAAAATGTTATTTTTATATATATGTTTTAGCACTTCCGTAGCGATGAACAATATATATATATATAATTTGATAAACTATTTTTAAAATTAGCAACACTTTTTTACCAAATATATTTCATGTTTTGAAAATCTTGCAACAAATAGATGTTATCAAATATGCTTCCAATTACTATTTGATCAAATTAAAATACTCTGTACCAAAACATTTGTTTGTTTTGTTTCCGCTTAAAACAAAACGCATACCAAATAGGCCTAAAGAAAAGTTGAGAGCTCAAAATGCAATATTGTAATGGTGTGTTCATTTGTTTAAACTTTCGAATATACTATATATTAGACAATTAATCATGATATTTGGGGTTTTGTCCCGGCGAGCTTTTGTACAAAGCGCCCCTCCACACGGTCAGATAAAACACGGGTCTTCACCCACGGGTGTCAAATGTTCGTTTCCCTTTCCTTGAGACCAGTCTTACATGATTATCCAAACTTGGCATAATGATATAGATGATGCATCATTATTTTATTATTATTATTATTTTTTTTTCTAAAGACTTGTTTGGTTGTTTGATTTCTCTGCAGGGTTGTGATGCCTCAGTGTTGATAAACTCTACGACAAATAACACAGCTGAAAAGGACGCAGTTCCAAACCAATCATTGGCTGGATTCGATGTTATTCATGATATAAAGACCCAATTAGAGAAGACTTGTCCAGGGGTAGTTTCATGCGCGGATATTGTCACCTTAGCTGCCAGAGACTCAGTTTCCTTCCAAGTAAGTCTCAAATCATATTGAAGGGAAAAATAAATAAATAAATAAAAAGCATACGATAAGACTCTAGAGAGTCTAAAAGTAATTAAAGGGTCTTTGTCAGGGTGTAACTTGTCTATTTTCAAAATGGAAGAGAGGGTTCCAGTTCGGACGTGCAAAAAAGGTGTATATGTTTGCTAAAACTGAAATTAAATAAATTGTTGCATCCATACATGCAGTTCAATAAATCAATGTGGGAAGTGCTAACTGGAAGAAGAGATGGACGGATTTCTCGTGTTTCGGAGGCCCTTGCCAACATACCTTCGCCATTCTCCAACTTCACCATCCTCAAACAAGCTTTTGCCAACAAAACTCTCTCTCTCAAGGATCTTGTTGTTTTATCAGGTAAGTGTGTTGCCACTTTAATTATTTCAAATCACAAAATTTTATTCGATTCAGTTTTTTTGAAAATCAGAAAACTCTACCAAAACTTGTTTGGTTGTGATTTTTGTGAAATTGTTTTTTCAAAAATCCAGTTAAAAAAAAAACGTATGATTTCAGTAAACTATCTTTTATAGTTGTCCGAAGTTGTTTTTTTATTTTTTGAGTCTTTGAAACCGTGTTTCCCAATCCCATAAAAAAAAATGGTCAGATTCATACAATTTGAAAATTACGAATAAAATAAATTAATTTTGTAGTTAATCAAATGTACCCTTATTTAACCCCAAGGGGTTAGCCTAATGGAAAAGATTTGGTCCTTGAAGTCTCCTAAAGCTTCAGGTCTCAAGTTCGATTCCTTCTAAGTTCGAACAATTCTTTGAGATTACAATCGCGTCGGACATAGTCCGAGCATTGAACACCCTCTTACCAAAAAGAAAAAAAAAAAAAAATGTACCCCTATTTTAATTTATTATCTGAAATTCTGTTATTCCAAAGAGAAATGGGATCTCATAAAGGATTGAAAACCAATTCTCAAAAGGATTTGACTCGTAAACATAACGTTAGGAGCTAGTTCATCTATAATATGTGCATGTCATGAAATTAATGAAACATTTAATTAAGAATTAGCTTTTGGTCGATCAGGTGCACACACCATTGGTGTTGGACACTGCAGTTTCTTCAGCAACAGGCTGTACAATTTCACCGGCAAAGGCGACGCAGATCCTTCTCTGAACTCCACCTATGCTGCTACATTGAAAACCAAGTGCCAAAGCCTTTCAGACAACACAACTACAGTTGCAATGGACCCCGGGAGTTCGCTAGCATTCGACAACCATTACTTCGCTAACTTGAAGCTGCGACAAGGCCTTTTCCAATCTGATGCTGCACTTTTAACCAACAATGGTGCTAGCAACATTGTGGATGAGATGCTGGTTGGCTCCGCGAAGTTCTTCACCGAGTTCAGCCAATCGATGAAGAGGATGGGTGCCATCGGTGTGCTCACTGGAACTTCAGGAGAGATAAGGAGAAAGTGCAGTGTCGTTAATTAATTCCTAATTGAGAGTTGGAGGTTGAGTATCTGTATTAGTAGCTGAAGCTACTAATTTCTTTAATTTTTTGTACGTTTTTCTTCAAATAATCATTATTAAACATGCAAAGTAATTGGTTATTTTAATTTTGCTGTAATGTGATAATAAAATGTTTCATGGGGTTTTCTTTGAATCCACTTCAAAAGCCTTCAATCTAGATGATGTAATTTGGAAAATTCAACGTTCTTCTATCTTATTGTTTCCATTAAGTGGCTTGTTTATACATGCTATCTAAAGAATTATAATGTGTTGTGAGATTATATATACCGTACGAGGCACTTAATTGAAGAAGGAGAACACACACAATTTTTATAATTCTCAAATTTTGATATATTATTTCATCTCACTTTTTGCTCACAAAATGATTCAAGAACATGTATAATCAATTCCATAGTTGAGAAGATAAAGAGTGGGTAATTCATTCCATTTCGATTTATGAATAATTCAAAAAATTTATAAAGAAGTTAACTCAGTGCATGTGAGACTTTGTTATAGCTCAGGTGGGAAGCCGAGCTAGTAATATGTGACTAAAAATCAAAAAAAAAAATTAAAAAATTGTAATGTGATTTTTTTTTTTTACATAATATTATTCTAAATAGTTAATAGTATAAGATACAATTAAAAAAAGGAGACTTAAGTAGTTATGAAAGACTACATCAAAAAGAAAGAAAAGAAAAATAAAGAAGAGGAAACCATAAGTTACAAATAAAAAGATATTGTAAGGAAAAAACACCGTTCAAGAATTAAACTTTATTTAACAATTAGCTTCAATGTTTGAAAAACAAAAATTTGATTACTTTTATTCGACTTTGAAAGAGAATTGTTTTTTTACTATGATGAAATATTAAGCGAAAAAATATAACATTTTTACTAAACAAATTATAATTAGTAGGAACAAAATAGAGAAGTGCTTTAATATATATATATATATATATGTGTGTGTGTGTGTGTGTGTGTGTGTAGAATAACCCCAAGAGGTTAATTGGCTCAAGTGGGTAACTCACTTGACTCTGGTGCTTCACTGAACATTAGGTCTAAGGTTTGACTCCGTTTGAGTGCAACCAATTCCTTAAAAAGGGATTTGTGAGTTAAATAAATATATATCACAAAGAATAGCTATGGAATTTGCCATCTAGCATATAGCATATATGATTATATTATTTTTATTTATTTATTTATTTTTTTTGGGAAATTGAAGCAATTTTTATAGAATTGAGAAATGTACAATTGGCAAAGGTCAAGGAAAAGAAAATGAACTGGCCTAAATAGGAAAGCCCGAAAGAAAACAACTGGCCATATAGGCCCACCACACAATATAACCCAATCAACATCAGGCCCCTAGGCCTTACAACATTTGAACAATAACTACTCCGGTGAGAACCGCCTCTTAAAAAATAAACTTGATTTTAGCATTTAATTAATCATTTTAAGTATTCGTTTTACATAGTGTATGTAGGCATTTAGCATGTTAGTGGGTAGTAAATTATCTTAATGAGAATTAGTATATGAGAGTTAGTGTGATGATAAAAGTTATGTAAAACCAAGGGTCATGAGAGTTAAGTGTAAATGGTTATGTTAGTGGGAATTAAACCTCCTAAATACCATGTTAGTGGGAGTAGTGGGAGTTAAGCCTAAAGTTATGTTAGTGCGAGTAATCAGGCACTTAGATGTAATTGTTACACCTATATTCATGTGGCCTATATATTTATGTACTCTAGTCAAATAATTATAGAAGTAGAATAAAATACTTTTCCAAGTATTTCTCCATATCATTCTCTTCCAAAATATTATCGAGTGTTGTGTATATCTAGGCTACTATTTCCAACAAAGTGATATCAGAACAAAAGCCAACAAACTGGTATCAGAGCCAGGTTCCATATCGGAGCCAGGTCATTATCAGAGCCAGATTTCATGTTCAAAACCTAGACGATCCTGAAGGTCTGACGAAGTTGATCCTAGAAGGTTCAACATTTGGGAAAAACATGTTTCTCCTTGATGATAATGAAGGGGAGAAAATGTATTTTCTTAGTGAGACTATGATGTTTTCTAATTACAAGAGAATAAGAATCATCATGACTTCATACCTCAAAACATGTGATTTGTGGGATGTTGTTGGAGAAGAGCCAAAGAATGGCATGTCCAACACGATTCGTGTGAAGAAAGAAGAGAAGGCATTGGTAGTGTTGCAAAAGGCAATACATCAAGAAATTTGGGAGTATTTTGGAGAGTCCAAAACCCCAAGTTGTGTTTGGAAGATACTCGAGACCAACGTTTCCAATCATAGAGGTGAATCACTACCCATAGAGTATTGGGTACAATGCTTTGAGGATGATGAGTTTACGAAAGATGATTATGAAAGTCTTGATGACAAAGATGTGGAGAATGAAGAGATGTATCATGCAAATGAAGTCAAAGATTTTGGAGATTCAAAAGTTGAAGGAGCATTTGAAATGGTGAATAAGGAAGAGGTAAGAACAGGTGTTAAAGAAGAGATTAAAAAAGTATAGGAGAATGAAGTGAAAATAGAAGATTTAGAAGAAAAAAGTGCTAAAGTAGAGGCAAAAATTCAAGTTGGTAAGTTAACACTTTCAGGCATGGTTACAAATTCCACCTTGAAAGAAGTTATATTTGATTTATTTTATGAAATTATTATTTCTTCATATTCATCAAATAATGATTATTTTGTGGAGAATGATGAACTTCTCTTAAAGAAAATTGTTCCAATTAATTATGAGATTGAAGTTAAAGGCGTGAAGAATTTTTCAAATTATTTTTTACAAGATAGTTCGGAGAATTTGGTAACTGACATAGGTTGGGTGAATATGGAATTATTTTTTGATTCCAAAGAAGAAGCACATAAGAAGTTCAAGAAGTTTCAAGAATTCAAGAAGAGAGAAAACGAATGGGGCGCCCATGTGAAGAAGATAAATGTTGATCGTAAGAGGGCATTATTCAAGCATTTGAAGAAGTTTCATAAGCCCTACACATCAATGGAAATGGCCAAGAAGAATGAAGCTATTGAAGGAGGTGGAATTGAAGGTAAACCATCGAACCTTTGATCAAGCTCCTAAGATTAATAAGAAGGTTTTTCAAGTTACAAAATCAAGTTTAAAGGGGGGTGTTGAAAAATAAACTTGATTTTAGTATTTAATTAATAATTTTAAGTATTTGTCTTACATAGTGTATGTGGGTATTTATCATGTTAGTGGGTAGTAAATTATCTTAATGAGAATTAGTATATGAGAATTAGTGTGATGGTGAAGTTATGTAAAATCAAGGGTCATGAGAGTTAATTCTAAATGGTTATGTTAGTGGGAATTAAACCTCCTAAATACCATGTTAGTGGGAGTAGTGGGAGTTAAGCCTAAAAGTTATGTTAGTGTGAGTAATTGGGCACTTAAATGTAATTGTTACACCTATGTTCATATAGCTTATATATTCATGTACTTTAGTCAAATAATTGTAGAAGCGGAATAAAATACTTTTCCAAGTATTCCTCCATATCATTCTCTTCCAAAATATTATTGAGTGATGTGTATATCTAGGGCACTATTTCCAACAAAGTGGTATCAGAGCAAAAGCCAACACAGCCATTACTGGCAACAAGTTAGCAGCAATTTCATTGCCTAAGATGGATCATCCGGTGGATGAATGAATGAAGAAGGTAGACCCCAAACATCACGGGCACGCCGAGCAGCCACAACGTCTTTGATTGACAAAGGTAAGAGCCGTTCCTTGATTGAATTTGTGATATTTTGTAGAATAAAGTTTTGTGAGGAAGAAAGATCCTTAAAGATTCTTGCATTCCTTTCCGCCCAAATTTGGTAAGTGGATGTTGAGAGTGCCAACTTGTTTTTGGCATTCGAAATATTCTTTGATGACCAGTGATATGAAGCCCAAAAGATAAAATCATTTCAATGTGCCAGAGTGTAAAAAACCATGTGTGTTTTGGATATAAAACCAGATGGGGGCAGTGAATGAGCAGGAAAAGAATAGGTGATTTAGTAATTCAAAGGCACAAGGAACAATGATTCAGTATGTGCCATTGATCGATTGTCTAGTGTGGCCAATTTAACTTTATGCCTTAGGAAGGACATGGAGCTCCAAACCAGTTGATACCATGGGGCATGATTTGCAGGAGGGGAGAAGGGGGGGGGGGAGTGTGCTTTAGTGAAAATTTATCATTTGGGGAAGGTATTTGAATTTAAGTAAAGTGTTGTGTTGCAAAATTGAGCTAACTTGCTCAGTGAGAACAACTTTCTTTGGTACTCGGCTCTGGTTCTTTCTTTTTAGAATGTACAAATCTTTTAAACTTTTTGCATAGGTCAGAATTTGTCTAATGGCATCTAAGAGATGAAGATTGATTTTGACTTGCCAAAATATTTCAATTATTTCATTCACCTTTCCTTGTTGTCTTTCAAAATATGTGGACACTTTCAAAGCATCCGAAAATAGAGCCTTTGGCTCAAAAGATTTTTCAAAAACATTTGATGAGGAATTCTCAACAATGGGGTCCTTTTTGCTAAGTGAAGGAGGAATATGATATGAAACGGGAAGGGTGTCAACGCTAGGTTGCATGATGAGTACTGAAAAGTGCGTATTTAAACCCCTTAAGCTTAGGCATTCTAATACCTTTATCTATCTTACTTTACCGTTTTAGATTGATTTTGTGTTATTTCCATTTTCAGGCACTTATCCCGAAAATAAGCTAAGTCAGCCAAATAAGAGCTTAATTGAAGCAATTCTGAGATTAAATAAAGAAAGGAGCAAAGTGGAGAAAGAAAGAAGCAAAATGAAGCAAAGCAGTAAGTTCGATCGATCCAAGTTCAAGGTTCAATCGATCGAACAATGATCGATCTCAGCACTTCAAGATAGATCCAAGCCTTGACCCAAAGTACTTCAGTCCAAAAGTTCGATCGATCCAACATCATTCTTCGATCGATCGAACACCTTTGTCCTTA